TAAAAAAATTTAACTTTTAAAATAAATTATTTATTAAAATCAAATAAAAACATTCGGATACTTGGCTTCGACAATATGCATTATCTCAAAAACTAGCTAATTAAACGGTGTGAGGTGTTATAAGTAAAAATGTTCTACGCCCCTCCAAAACCTTACCCAGGCCCTAATCCTAACTATAAGTATTAACCTTAATGTAAAGAATTTGTGTTAAAAATTTTATATACGAAACAGAAAATTCAATAAAGACATAATAGGTGTTTAATACCATAGGAGCATTTTATATTATCTCATTTTGAAAAATCATGACCCACGAAAAAATTTTAATAATTTACTTAGACCAGACCAATTTGATTTCCCGTTTTACATATCCCCCACCCTCCTCAATTCTTCAACATTATAGAAACCAAATACACATAATATTTATAACTTCATGTACTTTTTAAAATCTATATGGGTTAATGCACATCAAATTAACCAATAAGATTGCAGCATTAATTTGGATTGTTTTTTCTTAATTCCCACCCTCCTCTTACAAGTCACCTTATGTTAAACAGAGAATCAACTTGGCTTGGAAATTACGCACGTGATAAAAAATAATTGCGACTAAAAACAATGCATATATGCTGCACTAATCAGTTACACTCAACAAATAAACTAAGTACGCACAATAAAATACATTTACAGATCGGAATATATGTGTATGTGTATATATAAATTGTTAAATGCAAAGCTTAAAGCCAATCGTTAATTGCACTCCAAATTTCAAGCTTTTTTTAGAGAAAAAATAAATTCAGGGCAACCTAAAAAATAGAGAAATGAATAAACTATGTAGATTCATCATCTAACACAATGTATCGTACTGTTGCTGCAATCCTAAATCCTTCTGGAAATAAAGCACTAAAATACATAATACATACATAGATGCATATATCATTAGCAAGATTAGAAATTCACATAAACTCGAATTATTTATAAACTTACTGCTCATAGTTTTGTTGAATTTCATGTCCAACCATCATCAACAAATCACCATGATGAATCTTCAGGATCAATTCTGGGCCTGTTCCACGTGATTTTAGGCCCAACTCTAGCGCGTCAATTGGCATGTATGGAGATGACGTAAAAATCGTATATGGTAGTGGTAGCCTTTCGTCAGAGGCATTTTTGTTAGAATTAGAAGAATCACTTGGCCTAACAGAGATGTCATCTGCGCAATCTTTATCGGATAACTTCGACATCTTCCGTTTCTTCCTTCGAAATTTCAATTCAGCGGAAGCTCCGAGGGACAAGTTCCCAATTATTGGACCGACCCCTCTTTCTCCATCATCTATTAGGATGATAAAAGAATTATCTTCCCTATAACCAATACTCAGTTCAAACAACTAATTTCTTACCGTGCCAGGACATCTTGTGACGAGAAATATGTTATAATATAATGATTAGCACTAAAATAATCGATGACAACTGAAAACCAAAGAAAAAAAAAAAAGACAATATTCACGCGCTGATCATTTAAATATGCCGCTAATAGCATTTCATTAAACTTAACGCCTTCAATAAATGCGTTGCACATTTCGTGTATATATTTATAGCAATCTTGAACGATTTGCGGGGTTTCTTCGAACGTTAATGTGTCACATTCCAACGAGAACTTATATTGTTTTCCGACATTCATGGTAAACTGACGAGCTATTAACTGCGATCCGACTATATAATTTCATTAATCATGTAAATAAGATCAAAACAAATAAAGCAATAATAAATTAAAGCCATTTACTTCTATTGCAGCCTTTTTTTAAAATGTTCCTTTTAAATGGTAAATCTTTCCGTTGGAATTTTATGAAAAATTGATCCGATATTCTATTTATAGAGCTATTCCCAATCCTATGTATAATATAACCACCTTCAGGAAAGTAATATTTGCAGACAACGGCACCTTCTGCAGACACTTCACTTGTCTTGGTAATCCCACTATTGTCTTTAATACATGAATCATAATCGAAAGCGGGCCCGATTAAGACAGGGAGATTTGGGTTACGTAACATCGAAGGAAAAAGAAGCTGTTCTGGGACTTCATGCTTTAACTTTACAATCATTTGCACATAGAAATAGAATGAGGTTGATGTATTAAAGAAAAACTTATAGAGAATTGCATAAGAGATGACATACCCCACAATTCGCACACTCCCAAAAAGCCCACTTATCACGACAAGAAATTCGACCACATCGGAGGCAATGAAAGCCTTTCCAGTATTGGACACCATATAAGACATTAGAATTTGTTGTGTCATTATTTAACGTGCTTGGAGGTTGTGGTGGCAATATTGAGAATGGTATGCGATGCAATTGATCACGAGCTATTAGACCAGGATTGAGAAACACTGGATCATAGATGAGATCATCTGGTACTTTAACCCATTGATTTTGATCAGACCATGCCTGTATTTAATAATGAAAATCGGAAATATAAAACCAATCTGTTAAAATAATAATAACAATAAATGACACGGATTATTGTGAAATCAGATTATCGTGAAATTTGGATCTATTTTATGTAAGATTTTTAAAATTTTTGGAGCCCTTTTTTGTTGACTTTTTGTTTTATAGTTATGTTGGGATTTAGGTTAGAATTATTAATAAAAGAGTATAGGTGGATTTTGGTTGGGTTTATATTTTCAAATTGAGACCCCCAAATTTCACGATGATCCGATTTCACAATAATCCGCGACAATAAATTTTAATATTGTACCTGCCAAAAGTGGTTGCATTTATGATTTAAGCATATCCACGCAGTTTTATAAATTTTTGATGATGGAACTTTGCATTCAGGGCATAAATAAACTCTCAAAGTACCCGGTAAAATGGTTGAATAAATAAGTCTTTGACAAGGCGACTCCCACCAGGGTGAGAATTCTTGGTTTGGAACCCATTCAAATCGAAATTTCCATCGAATGAATGGGCACTCACGTTTAGTCTTAGATCTATGTTCTGCATCATTTCCATTCAAGATGTCCTCCTCGTCAGTAAGATCATCGTCATTTTCGTATATCTCATACTCTGGCTAATGTAATTAGGTCATTATGAGAACAAAAACTTCTTCTGAAATTCAAATGATGCCCATTTAGAACGTAGTTAAACCACAAACCCAGGCGTGAGTTATATAATATAACCTAATAATGAAAAAATACATGATATTAATACAAATCATAAAATATAAAATATATACACTATTCAACTCACCCCATCACACAGTAGCGGGCCGGAACTCTAAACTCTGCATTCTTTTTATTTCCGACAATAATTGCCAATGGTTGTTTATTAATATAATTTTTGATTAACGCAGATACAGATGCATCAGTCAAGAGCTGAGAGGCAAAAAGACCGAAACTTCCATCCTGGCGTCTACATGATTTTCCGCCACTGTAATTCATTACAACTGTAAGCAAATTGCAATGTTTCTAATGCGAACACGCGAAATCAATGCGATAATTTCATTGACAACACCAAGAATCTTATGATTACTTGCCCATGAGAAATAATCACGCGACCATTACAAACATCGCGCATCGCGCCGTATCCATCAACAAGGTAACCATAAGTTACTCCTTCTTTGAAATATACCCCAGACTGCCAATTACGAAAATATGGGACGCTTTCGCATAGCTCTTGACGTGTCTTAATGAAAATAAACAATAAAACGTATGCTATTGTAATTTTAGCATTTAATAGCATATGAAACAATACCTGAGACCATACACGTGGCCGCCCAATATTTGCCAAGCTTTCACCACGAATATCATTGTTGAACAAAAGTTTATGCTCTGAAAAACAAACTTCTTCTACCACAAAAACTTCGTTTGCTCTCTGGCTCGCGGCTTCACACGCGACATTCACGAGCAGGTCAAATGACATTATATGAGTTGTGTTCTGATTGACGCATATATTTTCGTAACACAAGATTAATTTTAACAGAATGCAAGACACGAAACTTGCAAGAGATAAAGATTTGTTCATGCAGTGTCTTTGAAAAATATTGATTTAACTATTTAAATATTGCATTTAAACTTTACAAGTCAAGTTTAAAACTATCAAACTTTTTGATTACGATTTTTTTGTATCATTAGCATTGCAAAATCTCTTTAAAGTTTAAATCGTTATCAATAAACTTATCGTATTTGTGTAACTGAAACTTCATAAAACCAGAATTTTCGGTTATTAGTAAACATAAAAACAACCGTATAATACTTAATTAAATAGCTTCCCAGCGAACGTCTTGTTAAGAAAATCAAGTTGAATCACGTTGAATCACGCAATAAAAGGTAGATCTATTATGAGTTGAAGTACTGTCTACTGTATAGTAAGAGGTAATAAAAGTATATTGTACTGCTTAATTCGTAAAGTTCAACGTTGTTTTTTTTTTTTTATTTATTTTATTTAAATAATTAACACGTTGATTTTACTATAAACTTTACTGAAAGTTATATATTCTCTAGAGGATATTTAATTCAATAGAAATTGTTTTATATATATGATAATAAAGTTTTGTTAATTATGTAAAAGGTTAATATTAATAAAAAACATATAATTTTTTATTAAAATTTTTTAATAAAGTTTCTATACTTGTATATTGTTATTATAAACTGGGTGAATAGTTTTATTCTTCTAAAACATGATTATTTTACTTTGAAGTTAAACTAAAAGAGACATAATAATACTGTATGTGAATTATGCCTGTTGATTGGCTATATAGTTTAATGATTATCTATCTGTTTATATATGCTAACAATATGGTTTCTGAGCATTTACTAATTTTTACTCACCTTTTCTATTGGCCGGAGGTAAATCAAATCTCCGATTGGACAGCAATAATCATGGGTTTAATAAATTTTTGTACTACTTCAAAGTTCAAATTAGGGGGTTATCTAAAGCGAAAATAAATCATATGATCAATCACTAATCAAATTATATAATTTTGATGATCACTATAGCAAAGCAAATGAGAAACAAAAATAAAAAATCTGAAAAATACAAAAAATGATAGCCTAAATCTAAAAATGTTGAGAAAATAATTTTGTATAAAATATAACTATCTAAAATCTATCTTAACTCTATTCTAAAGTAACTCTAACTATAAATTTAATTGGTAGTTGATTATATATACAGTCAAACCTCCATAAATACAATGTGTACAGACCAGCCTAAAACGTGTATTTAGGGAGGTTTGTATTTAGAGAGAGCCAATCAAATTGCAACTTTTAATATTTGATCTGCAGACTTGTATAACAAACTTAAATACTGACTTCTGATTGGCTACGTGCACTTAGAGAGGTTAGTATGATATAAAAAATCTTTTAAGTAAATGTGTATTTGCAGAATATAGAACGTGTATTTAGCACTAATGATTTCATACAGCCAAGACAAAAACGTGCATTTAGGGAGGTATTGCATTTATAAAGGTTGCATTTAGGAAGGTCTGACTGTATAATTTATCTTTGTTTTAAACATTTTTCAAATTAAAAAATTAATTTCGATATAATTACACAATTACAGTAATTAAAAATCTTTTTATATAGTTTATAATAGCCTTTGTATAAGGTTATTAGATAGCTAATTCTATTATTAATAAACAAAAAAAATTGTGATTTTTATATTATATTTAATAATATCTGATAAATCTACTTGAATCTAATAGCTTTTATATTATGATTTTTCTTAATAGACAAATTCTAAATAATTTGTTATATAAAAATTGTTAAATTCAAGTAAATTTATCAGATATTATTAAAGTATAATATAAAATTTATCAAATTTTTTTGTTTGTTATATAATATGATCAGTCAAGAACCCTGGACATCTTTGATATATATTATAACTGAGTTTTAGTCAAATTTGATCAAATTTGCTAAAAATTAAAAAATTATATTTTCTTAAATAACTTTTGATTCAGTAATTAGAATTGGATAAATTTTTTTTGTTAGATGTACCTCACTGAAAGCTTTCATTTAAAAAAAAGTTCATCCAAATTGGACTACTGGATGCTGAGATAATTGCAAAAACTGATTTTTTAATTTTTAAATTTTAGGTGTTTTTACTGAAATACGTAATGTATAATCCCTGTATTATATGTCTAGGGTTCTATTAGTAATCTGATAATCTTGTATAAAGACTATTATAAATTATATAAAAAAATTTTTAATAAATTATATAAAGATAATATTATTTATTATCTGATTATTTTTTACAAAAGATTTACTCTCTTTTTTTTTTTAATACAGTATATATAGTATAAAATCAGATTTTTTATATATAATTTTAACTAAAGAAATTAAGTAGTTTATTTAATCTAGTTTCAAAGAGTTTAAAAAAAGATCTGGCTTGAAGTTTATAACTCTAGTTTAGTTTTAAAGTTTAAATTTAAATCTGAACTTGAGTTTATAAACTTCAAAATTCAAACTCAAAGTTTATAAATCTAAATTTACTTATGAATATGTTGTAATATAGTAAAATTTTATTAGTATATTTTATATTTTATTAGTTAAATATTTAAATTTTTATTAATCAATTTTTATTAGTCAATTTTTATTAGTCAAATTTTCTTTTTTACTTCTGCGATCCTACCTTTATTTTATTTATCAGAAGTAGATTATAAAAATGTCTCAGCTAGCTAGACTTACATGCAAATCTCTAAACTACTATATTTCTGTACAAATAAAGATTTTCTCGATCTGTCTCATTATCGCAGTAAAAACCACGGCCGAAGCCCAGAGTTTTTACGCTAGAGTATGATCTAGAAGCAACCCGCCTAAGTGACAATTTTCCTCCTTCCGGGATCCTCAACTTACTGAGAATATGAGCTCCGGACATCAACAGATGAAAGCACCAACCTTGTCAGAATCACCGCTCTACAATAGAGTGCCACCAAACTGATGACACTTTCTTGTAGAGAAGTAAAAAAGAAAAAAAAAGGGGTAAGAGCAAAACAAAAATAGGGAAAGTAAAAAAAGAAAACAAATAAAAAAATGACCAAAACATAAAGAAATCTAAAAAACTATCTTAAAATTTAAGAGAACTTGTCTATAGATATAAAAACCTGCTAACCAGGTAAAAAACTATCTACATGGTCGTAGAAATC